GAGAGCGAGGAGGAGCGAGAGAGCGAAGAGAGAGAGAGAGAGAGAGGCAGAGAGAGAAGAGAGAGGAGAGAGAGAGAGAGGGGTGGGGGAGAGAGAGAAAGCGCGAGGGAAAAGAAAGTATGAGGGGAGGAGCGGAGAGGAGGGAGACGAGAGAGAAAGAAAGATAAGGGAGGCCTAGGAGAGGGAAATGACTGAGCAGTGAGAGATAATTAAAAATAAAGAAGACATAGGAACGCCGCTAGAGCGGGCATGCGCGCAGTGAATGGGGGCGGGGGGTGCTTGGTGGTTATGTTGTGACGCATGCACGGCCGATAGCTGTACACAAGTCTATATAACTTGCCGCGTTATTACGCGTGCTAAGCAAGCTATCTGGTCCTCACATCCTGTGCCCTACCACAACTTCGTTAGATACATGTACATACAACTACATACGGTAACTACAGTGGCGTACTAGCATCACAGGATGTTCCTGTCTCGTAACGTTGGACGTAGGCACGCGCGCGTGTGCGTGTGGTTGTGCCGGGAATGACTGCAACGACAACGACACCTAGTGTTGGAGGGAACAGCTGGCAAAGATAATAAACATATATGATAGATAATAGACGTCTCAGAGCTGTGTGAGTCACGGGTGCTGGCGATGGCAGGCTGGCTAGCGCGGTTTAGTCTGATCTTGGCGCTTGATGTTCATGTTGTTTAATTCCTGCGCGTTCTGCACGCAATGATTATGCCGCGCAGTAAACTCTTGTGCAGCGCAATATAACTGCGTGGGCCGTGGGTAGCTTGCTTTAGCTGTGCACATAGTGACGTGTGTATGGGTAGTGTGCTGATCGCGGTGCTGCGTGCGCGCCGTGCTTGCGATGTGCGTGATCGTGTGCGGGCGCGCGTTGTGTGTCCGTGTTGTGTTGCTTTGCGTGAGTACGTGCTTGCGTGCGTGTGTGTGTTGCGCGCGCGCTCGATCTTGTTATTCATCTATCTTGGGGTAATTAGGGAGTTTGCGCTTAACTAACTGCCTAAGCTGATTAGATCTTCTCTGTCGTGTTTTCGCTGGCAAATAATGATGCTGACTTAACTCGTGTAATTTGTTTAATCATTATCTATTATTAAAGTTTATTAATTAAACAGGCACCGGGGGGGATAATAGAATGGGAATTACAGGGAAAGAGTAGGCCCAGGATTGTTGCTTAACAGAAGAGTTCCAACCCACCACCGCATCATCCTTCTCTTCTCTCCTCGCGCAGGACGTTCGAGCCCACCTTCTCCTCCTCCTCCTCCTCACCCTCCTCCTCCTCGCCCTCTTCCTCCTCCTCCTCCATCTCCTCCTCCTCTCTCCTCCTCCTCCTCCTCGTCCTCCTCCCTCCTCCTTCTCCTCCTCCTCTCCTCCTCCTCCTCATGCCTCCTCCTCCTCTCACGCAGAAGTTAAAGGAATATTATGACAGGTTACAGGTAGATATTATGACAGGTTACAGGTAAATATTATGACAGGTTACAGGTAGATATTATGACAGCGGTGTGACGCAAAGACGACATCACCGTGCGTCACCGTCGTCAACGTCTCTTCTTTCACCTGCGGTCGTGACAACATGACAGGTTACAGGTGAATAATGTGACAGCTATGTGACAGGGGACGGTCTCGCCACATGTCACTGTGTGTCAACGCGTCTCCTCCTTCACCTGCAAGGTGCGCAGCGGCGGAGACAGGAGAAGGTACCGCAATCTTCGACCTGGGTGAGATATGAGATGAGAGAAGGGAGGGGGGTACGGTGGACAGTGAAGACAGACACACGTTCGCTCATATTTGTCATAGTTAGTTAGTATCTCCTCATTCACCTGTAAGGAGTGATGCGTAAGACAGTGGTTCTTAAACTTTTTTAAGGCATGAACCCGTTTGAGAATTCGGTGTAAGCTATGGACCCCTCCCCCGAACAATGCACATATATAAGCACATAAACACAAAAGTTTGCATGCGCCTGTTTCACGGACCCCCTGAAGCCCATCCACGGACCCCCACAATTTTAGAACCCCTGGCGTAAGGGGATGCAGGGTGGCAAGCGCAGACAGCGTAGATGCACATCTGTTCGCCACGAACGACTAGTTTCGACATGTACGGTAATGATACAGCTGCGCTACGAACAAAATAATAGCGATCATCTGAAGTGCTACAGCTACGCTTATTACAGGATGCAGTAATGGTGACGCTAAACCTCAAGCAATATTACAGTGTACAGCATCTATTTAACGCAGGGGTCGAAATTCGCTATATAGTTATTGTGCAACACAAGTGTTTTTCAGCGAACGCAAGCAATGTTTCGTAGCAACTTGCGGCTGCCGCAAGTCAACAATATGCCAGCTACTTACGTATTACTTACGTAAGTCAGACCCATTTTATTTTGATTTCTGTACGAAATTGAAGCGTAAATCACTCTGAATCAGAGCAGGAAGACACAGAAGACATAGAATAAATCATAAACTAAAACAGGGAGGAAGGGAAGGGGTACTGCCAGTTTGGAGAGCAACAAAGGTAGGTGCAAGTCAAAATCTCTTGGCACAAGTAATTGTTTAACCTAACTTACTGCATGCGCAAGTGTGTTTTTAGCGAATTTCGACCCCTGTGAAAACGGTTTTGCTACTGACAGACACCGGTTACTACTTTGGATGACATCATATGTTGCAACGCAGCAGGAATGAAGGTGGCCGTTCGAATATTACAATGGTTAGGAATATTCTTAATTAATTAATTTACTTCTTCTTATTCTTCTCGTGTCGCTACACTACACCCGGGAAGAAGAAGTAAACGTGCACATTTACTAATTTTGATTGATCAAAAATCAACTATCATCAATTGCAAACACTAATAATGACTCATCACACTGATTTCAGCCTTTAATTACAATGAAGAAGTTCACGTTCAGCAAATAACGTGAAGCCGTGCGTCATTCTAGCACCATCGATCGCAGCCCGACCCCACCTTGATCGTAACAATATTACCCTGCTGCATCGCTATTCACAGCCTACAAGCGACGACCACAGCCACCACATCTCACCCTATCGGCATCCCTATGTTCTGCTAGTATGCTAATAATATATATATCATCTCTACCTCACCCCTACCCCTCGACAGATGAAACATGATCGCATCACTCCCTACGTCTGCTCCCCTTACACCCAACCTTGCCGCAGCTCACACAACCACAGCTCCTATGATCTCACCTCACCCCTCAGCATCCATTACAGGGTCCCCCCTCCCCCCAACCGTACCACAGGGCCCCCTCCCCCCACCGTACCACAGCCCCCTCCCACCGTCCACAGGGCCCCCTCCCCCACCGTTACCACAGGAACCCCCCCCACACCATAATACGCACCACCCACAGTGCCCCCTCCCCCCACCCGTACCACAGCCCCTCCCCGCACACGTACCACAGGGCCCCCCCCCCCACCGCTTACCACAGGGTCCCCCCTCCCCCCCCGCACCACAGCCCCTCCAACCACGACGCGTGCCTACCTTCAGCAGGTTGGAGACGATGACGACGACGTCCGGGTTCGCGACGACCGCCGTCTCGTCCTGGTACGCGTTGCTCGACCGCTTCGCCCGCGTCGAAAACTCGACGTTGCCCAGGTGCAGGATCGCCGACAGCACCGCGAACAGCCGCCGCTGCTTCGGCGCCAGAAACCCGACCATCTCCATCGACTGCCGCAGCCGCTTGAACTCATATCCGTCGTCGACGCCCACGAGGGTGACGCACGCGCTGCGGTTGAGGTACGCGTACGCGGCCGGCCCCGCGGGGAGCAGCGAGAGTTCGCGTCGGTCCGCCGCGCCCGCGCCGGCCAGCAGCTGGTAGAAGACGTGGTAGTTGCGCTCGTCGCGTGCCTGCGAGATGAGTCGCGAGCGCTCGAGCAGGTACTCGCGCACGACCGCGCCGCGCACGACCCCGTTCGTGCCGTACTCGACCTCGACGAACTTGCCGAAGCGGCTCGAGTTGTCGTTGTGCGCGGTCTTCGCGTTGCCGAACGCCTCCAGCACGGGACCGGCTCCTAGCAGCGTCTGTTCAATGCCCGTCGACGCCGCGCCGCCGCCGCGACGACTCAGCGCCGTCAGGTGGTGCAGCAGGATGTTCGTGCTCTCCGTCTTGCCGCTGCCGCTCTCGCCCGAGATCACGATGCACTGGTTGGCGCGCGCGCGCAGCATGGTCGCGAACGCTGCGTCGGCGACCGCGAACACGTGCGGGGGCAGTTCGCCGAGGCGGCGGTTCTGGTAGAGCGCAACATACTTTGGGTTGTAGATCGGGAAGAAGCGGAACGGGTTGACGGCGATCAGGATCGAGCCGACGTACGTGTAGATGTGTCCGCGCGCGAAGCGCCCGCGCAGGTTGTCGAGCAGCAGACGCTCGCTGATCTCCGGAAGGTTGCAGAGGTCAGCGAACTCCCGGCTGACCGGCTGCCGCAGGAAGGCGCCGATGACCTTGTCGACCTCGCCGTAGTCGACGACGTCCAGCCACGACGTGTCGGGCGGAAGCTCGCGCGCCTGCTCCCTGCGAGACACGAGACACGAGATGTGAGACACGAGACGCGGGGTGAGACACGAGACACAATACACAGGGTGAGACGTGAGACGCGAGCCAGTGAGTCAGACGTGAGGCATGAGACCACGATGAAACCACCGTGAGACCATGCGTGGTGTGACGCGAGACATGACATCCAAAGTGAGACACGAGACACGAGACGCGGGGTGAGACATGACACATTCAAGACTTACCTGAAAGAAAACCTGTACGACGTGACATTGTCGCTCGACTCCCCCGCCTTTGGCCACAGTAGATGCACCTGAACGGGATGCTCGGACTTTTCCAGAGGGCGCTCCTTGCAGTCCTGCCCCGGCGGGCCGACGACCTCGGCCAGCTCATACCTGTCCTGGTCGGACAGGTGGAGCAATCTAACAAGCTTCGTAAGAAGCTCCTGTAATGTAAGCGGCGAAAAAATTCTGACATCCACCGCTCGTTAGGTGTGAGCAAAAAAAGTTTCAGTAGGTCTCAGGGGAGAGATAGTGAATATAGAAATAAGTTGTGGATATAGATTAGAAATCAGTTAACCCTAACCCTAATCCTAACCCTATCCCTAATTCTAAAATAAAACAAAATTAGCCAAAAATAATAAAAAATAAAATAAATAAAAGACAAAATTAGCCAATCAGAGCCGTCCCCTAGCAGATCACTATCTCTCTCCTGTGCAAAATTCATTTTCAAAATTCATTTTCAAAATTCATTTCAAATTTCAATTGCATTACTATTAGCAGGAACACGAGTACTGTATACGCCATATTTTTCGTGTACAGATATTATCGCGAATTCAGACTTGAGGGACAATTTCGCGAGTGGTTAATTTCGCGGTCGGTGAATTATGAATTATTTGGTATTATTCGGTATGAATTATTCCCGTTGTTATTTTCGCCGTCAGGAACGTGTTCGCGAAATTCCCGAAAAATTAAACCACCGCGAAATATACAGCGTACACAGTATACCTACGGACATTTTTATTTAGGCAGATCATATATGATCAGGATCACATGGATGCAGTCATCCTGGGAGTTCGTTTGGGCTTACGATCAACTTTTTTTGGCAAGATGCAAAAAGTGGCACGCACCCTAAAATCTTAGGTGCAAAATAAGCCAATGCATGTGAAATTTGTTTAAATGAAAGGAAATGTGTTCGGAAGCAATGGCTAAATTTCCTAATCCATGTGACATCAACATCATATGTTCTTGAAATTAACAGCAAAAACTTTTAATAACAAAACATGTTTTTTGTTGATTCAACTTACTGTCTGTACTCCCTACAGTGATCCCCGCTCTACCGGGACAGGTTGGGAACCATGAAAATATCCCGCTTAGGAAGTGAACACATTTACAGTCTCACACACACGCCTGGTTGTGCCTCATGAATACAACCATCCAGTGAAAAAAATACACGGGGGCTCGGGGGGATCTAGCCCCCGAAATGCCAAAAAGAGCCCCCAGTAAATTTGCATGAGTTTAATGCAAACCAAATTTTAGAGTGCTATTTTCATGCACGCGAGCTTGAAAAGTAGCCCCCGAAAAATAAATTTTTTTCCCGCAACCATCAGTATACGGTACGCAATGTATGCCAAACTTAGTGTAGAAAAACTACCTAGGAAAATCTCGTTCAGCTCTTACATATGTTTTATGGGCTCATTATGTTCAGAATCCGCTGAAAACCACAGGATCGACATTAAGGATTGTTTTACAAGTTAGAAAAAATGTTGTTCCTCAGAAATTATCCTGTTTCACCGAGGTACTGTCTGTTTTTATCCGACTAAAATAACATCTAAAGGCACATGTAATTCAAGTGGTGCACCGGCTTATCCAAGTAGCGATAAAGTGGGAACAACTGTGTAAATATGACATGGTATTACGCTTTAGTCCCTAGCCTAGAGCTAGTAATACAAGTCACTATGCTCTCAATTTCTGAATCTCTGAAACATCAAACACAGAGACACTGAACCAGTTGGTAGGAATCCCTGTTTTGTCACCCTAGCTATAAGAACTCTGTGACAAGTCTTGCTTTACTTCCTGGGAGTTGGTTTTCCTATATCAGTGGCCATCTAGCCAAATTTCTTTGACATGGATTCAATATGGCAGCATGTGACTCAACCAAACACTGCGTGTGTGTTAGTTATGAACCATCCTGTGATGAGTCACAGTGAAAGTTGAGCCCTTTATTGCATGGCGAGTTTGCATTTTTTGGAAATATATCAGGATCAAGTGACCCAGATCAGGAACATCTGTCCCAAACAAAGAACCACGACGTGAATGTTATTAGCTATCAGTGCCAGGTGGAAGGCTGAATTTGTACCCACACTATGTCATCCTCACCTCCTCCAACCTTATTCCATCCCCGAAAATTAAGCTCTTCTGTTCTCATAATTGTTTCTTCACTTCCTAAGCCTTGGGGGGGGGGTTCTATCCTACTTTAGACCCGCTGACTTTTAACTTACGATTAAATAAAGATTACGGTTAGGATCATGTTAAGATTTGGAGGTGTAGGTTCTAGTTTAAAGGGTTTAGCATTACAGGTTCATGATTATAGGGTCATGGTTTGGTTAAGCATCGGAATGAAAGGGTTAGGGCTACGGTGATTACGCCGACAATACAGACCAGAAGTAGCACTGAGCCAAACCACCTCTGCCCGTTTATACCTGAGCTGTGGTGAACTTGGTCGCACGTAGATCGAGACTGGGGACGGACGACACGCCCGGCACGGATATGTAGATACGAAGCTTGTACACCGGCTCCAAGTCGCGCATGGCTGCGAGTCTGCCGGCTCACGCAAGTCGCTCGTCGTCGTCGCTGATACGCTCACGCGCGGGAAATCTTACATTCTCTCCGTCGGCAAGAGAGCGGCTGCCGTGACTAGAATATACGTTGTTGCCGATGGCGACGTGAGCGGAAGCCAGCCGTCTCACCACAGAATATCTACATAACAGCAGCAAAACGTTGACAGATGTAAACATATTGGAATCCGAATAGGAAACACATGTCCCAGTTTAGCTGGGATTACTAGCGATTTAAGCCCATAAGTGGTTCACTGTACACTGTAGTACAGTGTACTGCGTTACAGTACTGTGTACAGTGCACCACATCATGCATCTGAGCAACCATAAACTCGAAAAATGTCAAGTAGTCAGTTTGAAATAAGATAGTCCTAACCTAAACACACATAAGAATGTAAAATTCGTAATACTAGCAGCGGATTCTTTACGTTATAAATGGCATGAAATAGGACCGAAGGATAATAAAGGACCGAAGGAATAGGAATTGAGGAAACTTGCTAATTTTAACACAGATATGTCAAACGCCGCCGTCACCTGAAATCTATACGTTACTACACATACACAGCTGAGTGTACGACGATACGATTTAACTATAATTAACTGCGATTTAACCTGTTTTAGCATTGCCGATCATCTATAAAGTTTCATGTAGAAATTAAACACACCAGTTTACAATTTCCCGGAAGCAGCTAGCCGTCAGCAAAGCGCATGTCCAGACGCCGAATATGAAACAACTTCCGGTGTGTTTGTGTGTAGACATGGCGTCCTTCATGAGAATGAGGGCAAGCCGTCTAACCGGGCAAAAATTTGCTTTACAGTGGATAGGCAAGCAATGTGGGGTGTCATGGGGCCAGAAAGGACGCCTCCATATGACGCCCGTTGCTCTAGGTGAAGTTCAATAAGCTATGAGTAGTATTACTAGTAAATTTTACGACTAAATTAGGTAAACAAATTATAATGCCAGTGTCAGTATCACTATCACTATCAGTATCAGTAAGGCTGTCAGCATCAGTAAGTCAATACTCACTGGTATTTTATGAGTAAGTAGTAAAGTAGTCACATCAGGCAATGATTCATGATAACGGGCAACTCTCTAACACAAGGTATCTAGACTAAAGGTCTCACATGTAACTGATTTAATAATATCACATAAGATGAATAATTAATAATTGTAAATTTCTAATCGGTCGTTCGAGTTCAATTTGAAATTCAAGTTTCAATTTTAAACAATTTAAAGGTGTCGCTCCCACGAAACTCAACATGCCTGCACTTTCACCTACAATGACCGAAGGAACTATCCTCAAATGGTTAAAGAAAGAAGGTACACAACAACATAAACCTCATAACGAATGCGGCAGTAGTTGCTGTGATAAAAAATACACTAGGTGGCGCAATGGACATATCTCCACAGTGTATATCTATAATTCTATATACTTTTTAATCTAAACTAATATAAAGGAAGTCTGCACGAAGGTTCTACATAAGAATCTATATGGAAATTACAAACGAACGTATTGTATAAATTTGGTAGCTACGTTTATGGTTGTGCTAACTGTCGTTGCTGGATGATGCAGGTGATACTATCGAACCTGGTGATGTGCTATGTGAGATACAGACGGACAAGGCTGTCGTATCGTTCGACACTGAGGAGGAGGGAGTCCTGGCTAAGATCATTGTGAGCTGAAATCGATTACGTAATAACAACAAAATAACAAGACAACATCTTTTAGATTAGTGACAGCGTCGATTTTATCTGTCTGTGTGTCTGTTGCTATACACACACACATGCACACACACACACTCACACATACACACACACACATACACACACACACACTCACACATACACACACACACACACACACACACACACTCACACATACACACACACATTGCTCCATATCAACAAAAAAGTGGAATATATTCTCGTAAATTTAAACGTTTCAGGTTCCCGATAACACGCCAAACATCTCTATAGGGACCCTGATCGCCCTCATGGTGGAGGAAGGTGAGGACTGGAAGGATGTGGAAGTCCTGCGAGCCTAGATGCTGTAGACTCACCGGCCGCCTCTGCCGACGGCGACGAACAAGTGGCGTCATCGGATGCCCCCACTAGTCACGATCTTGCCATGACGGGTACGTCTCGAAGTTTTGTTTTCGTTTACGCAGGTAATTTTTTGCTGCACGCGGTGCAAACAGGGCAGACGTTGCAAACAGTGCGTACGTAAATGAAACATGCAAGTAGAGAGCTCCCGAGGATAAATACACAAAGTATAGGAAGTACGTTTATTTACATTGGGTCGTTTGTAATGTCCTGCGATGTTAGTCCGTGTGAAAGTGTCTTACTCTCTTCTGATAAAGCTGCAGCACAACAGCTTGTGCCCTTTGATAAAACTAGGAAAGCATACATCATTGCATCATGTTTGGCATGAGTATTCGCACTCAGCCGTGTGTAATGTTGAAAAAAACATCATCATGGATAAAAATAAATAAATTTAAAAATAAATTAAAAATAAATGTATTTCATCACATGTTGTGTTGGAGACGATAATTGGCTCGTTTGCCGTAGGGTTAAGATCGGTCCGTCAGTGCTGCGTCTGCTGACAGAGTATGGACTGTCACCAACAGACTTGCGTCCCACAGGGCCGCATGGAATCCTCATCAAAGGGTACAGTCTATAATTCTCATCTAAGATCATGGTCTGTGCTCATCAATAAGTCATTAAAAGTCGTTAAGCCAGTTGTTGGTGTCTGGTCATCGTGTGTACCAATAATAATAATAATAATAATAATAATAATAGTGTGTACTGTAAGAGTGAGTTTAATAAGTAACTAGACGAGAATGAACCGATAAGTTCTTGCAGTCAGCATTGACTGGTCTGGCGCATTATGGGGATAGCTCTTCTCTAGATGTTGTCTGATGTGCTATTTGCTCAGTTGTTCTCAGTTCTGCATTCCTGCGTTTTTCTCCCGCAGAGATGTGCTCAAGCACATTGCTGAGAAAGGGTTGAAGCCACTCCCCTCAGAGAAGCTATCAGTTCCAACCGCAGCGAGCCAGGCACCGCCTCCAACGCCCACACCAGTGGCGCCCCCGCCAGTGGCACCCCCTGCGGTGGCGCCCTCTCTGGTTGCAGCTCCGCCTAGGCCGGCGCCGAGTGACGGAGATTTCGTCGACATCCCAAACACCAACATGCGCAGCGTCATCGCGAAGAGGTTGACGCAGTCTAAGGTGAGCTCGCGTTTTTGCTGCGACGTCTACGGTCCCATGACTCGTTGGGTTAAGCATTTCCTGAGGTGGCATCCTAGCAGCGTTTAGGTGGTCAGCGTCAAGTTCGAATTTCACGGTGGCACCCGACGGCCAACCAAGTGCGATGTTTGCATTTCTTACTTGCTGTGGTATCCTAATATTTTCTGATTAAACCGAAAGCAAGATTTACCTAGCCATATAAAACTCATATTCGACCCCTAAATATGTTTAATCGCCATTATCCGTTTCCATTCAGCAAATCATCCCTCATGCATACCCAACCTAGTTAGACTCTTCCCTCTGTGTTTTATTGATGGGTATTTATGTTTGCCGGTGACCACTTGGCTTCAGGAAACCATTCCCCACAGAGAATTACAGAGAGTGTACATGAACTAATCGAGTATTCCCTGTGTGTAACGATGAGTATTTGTATTTGCCTACAGCAAACCATCCCGCACGTGTACACGAGCATAGATTGCCAGCTGGGTGTGACGATGATTATTTATATTTGCCGTGCTTGCCTACAGCAAAACATCCTGCACTTGTACACAAGCTAATTTGAGCCTTTGCTGTGTGTTTTAATGATGAGTATTTATATTTGCCTGCAGCAAACCATCCCGCACGTGTACACGAGCATGGATTGCCAGCTGGCGGGCGTGATGAAGCTGAGACGAGACTTCGCCGCCGACAAGGTGAAGATCTCCGTCAACGACATCATCATCAAGGCCGTCGCTGTCGCGCTACACGTGAGTGCTCGCGTTTTTTCGCGGCCGCTTTTCACGAGCGTGCGGACGTGTGTGTGTGTGCGTGCGTGAGTGCGTGCGTGAGCGTATGCATGCGTGGTGTGCGTGTGTGTGTGTGTGTGTGTTCGGTGCGATCGCGGGCAACGAGCGCGGCGATTGGTCGTCGTGCCACACGTGAGTGCTCGCAGTTTTTTCGAGGGTGCTTGTACGAGCCTTGGTTACGAGGTTCGGGCGCGATCGCGGGGCGACGCACACGCGGCTATCAGTCGTGCGGTTTCGCGCCGCGTTCTCACGTGGCAATCCATCGCTTCGCATCGCACGCAGAGTGTTCCCGAGGCAAACGTGATCTGGAACGACGCGACGCAGTCTGCCCAGCAGGCGTCGCAGGCGGACGTCTCTGTCGCCGTGGCGACCGACTCCGGACTCATCACACCGATCGTGAAGGATGCGGGTAGCCTGGGATTGCTGGAGATCTCCAGCCAAGTAAAGGTGCGTGCAGAATCCTGGAGGATTGTTGCGGCAGCACATCGATAATATTGGTCGTCGATGACATATCCTCAGCTTATGTGTGTAGAGCTGGTAGCGCGGACTTGACGAATAAATATGAAATAAATTCTTTCCTGTGTAACCTGCCAATTTTTTTCGCACCGCCAGTCATGGGAAACTGCGGAGAATAGGTTCCTCATTGCCCACTTCTACCATGATTCCGTCAAGTCGCATCTCCGATCGGGATTTCGACTCGCGTTAACGTGCGGTGTGCATCTTACGATCGGGTATTTACATTATTGATGTAATTATTGGTAAGAGGGTCTCATCGATGGACCGATGCTTTTTGCAGGACCTAGCCGCTCGAGCGAAGGAAGGAAAATTGCAGCTACAAGAGTTTCAAGGCGGAACGTTCACGTGAGTCTAGCGCTTCTTACATGTTACCTTCTAAGGTCTGAGTCATAACACCCGAAGAAGCACGTAGCATCGAGATCGAAGTGAAACGCGTCACGATAAATCATCGTTACCGAATAAATAAATTTATCAATAAAAAATGACTTATCGCGATAATGGTACCGATGGATTTATGTTGACGTTTTTGTCATCGAGTGTAGACACTCGATTTGTTTCGTTGTCTCAATTATCCAGTGCGTGTCACTCTATTCCTGTAGTACTCTTGTATAACTCGAACGTTTTCGAATGTCCCCATGTCTCAAACGTCATCTTAATTGTCTTGACAGTCGCTTTAAATGCACAACCCGTCTCATTTGCTACTCATTTACTGCGTTATAGCCTATAACCGCACAAATTTGTGTTGATTGTTGTGTCAGAGTAATCAGTAAAATGTCTGCTAATAAGTAAGACCCAATTTATCTACGCTCACACAGTTTTCTGATTTATTTGTGAGATAGTTGGTTTAAACGTCGTCTTAACTGTCTCGCCCGTCGACCTTGAAATGACCTTGACCCATCTCGTCTCGTCATCGCTTCGCAGAATCTCGAACCTGGGCATGTACGGAATCTCGCACTTCACCGCTGTCATCAACCCGCCTCAGTGCTGCATCCTGGCGGTCGGCGGCTCGCGCGCGACCGTCGATGCCGACAGTGGCGCCCCCGCGGCCGCCATGACGGTGACGCTGTCGAGCGACGCGCGGGCGGTGGACGACGCGACGGCGGCGCGATTCCTCGATGCGTTCCGTGAGGTCGTCGAGAATCCGTTCCTCATGGTGAGCCAGCCCCCGCCGAAGGCCGCGTCCTTCCTTGACATGTGAGGCGCCCCCTGGCGGCTCACCACAGACGCGAACGCTCCCCGGTCAATCGCACGCCGGCGTCGGGAGAGAGGCGCCACCTGTTGGGGGACCCCGGCGGGATGTTTCGTCGGCGCGTTCGGCGGCAGGTGAGGTGTCGTTTGTGGATGCCGACAGAGGGCAGCACCGGTGTTTCCATTTGGCATCTATCTCCGAGTTGTTATCGTTGTTTTTGTACAGTGTTATTGTTAGCGGTGCGCGGTTTTGCTCTGTGGCGGTCCACAGCTCAATGTAACAAAATACTGGGCCGGTCACCCGCGGAGCAAACGAGTTATCTTCCATCTATATGTAAAGATGGTCGGCACTGTGTGTCGCAGAATTTAGATGTAAGTAGTGTAGAGGCAAAGATTTAGATACAGAGTAGGCCATGCAGCGCGGGTAGCGTGCATTGTAGCTGTGACCGTTGCTCTTAGGCTGGATAAGTGTAAAGTAGCTGAATAATAATAACGCAGTGCCAGAACTGCATTGACTTTTAGGCCTAATCGCTGGAAAAAAGAACAACTATAGGTAGATTTATTTGACAGCTCTGGCAGATCGATAATGAAGGTATATGGGCATGCATGTAGGTCATTCTTTAGCTATGACTTGCAATTACAAACGCATTTCTCACTAGTCACTCACCCGTTGGACCTAGGTCAATGCTAGAACTCGTCCATGGCTCTATCTTAGCAGTCGGTCAATGTCATGTTATCAGGAGTGAATAATAATAGATTATTATTATTCTGTTATTATTCACTCTTGGCAGTCTCGATGTTATTAAATACGGCTATTTGCTTCAAACGTGCATCGCACCGGGTTGTGTATTGTAACGATCACTTTCACATCCATTAGGATATACACACTCGATCTCGTGTATTAGCAGTTGGTTTCCCGTAAAATGAAAGTTGAAGCTTGTAGTCATGGTGTTAGACTGTGGTCGTTGGCTGACACGCTGTGCGCTAAGCTAATTTGCGAGTTTTAAGTTCTGCGGGGTGCGATTAGACCGATGAGATGCGAGGGTGCGGTACGGTGTGCAGTAGTGCAATACGAAATGTATTCAGAAGAAAGGACGAGAGTTGACGTGCATACTCGTATCTGAAATTTCAGGAAGTTGTAATTATGAAATGACGGGGGTGTTGTGCAGTGCCAAGTGCTAGTTACCAAATTACAAATGGCCTAAATTAGGCATGGTGTGGCGCTATAACGTGTTGCTAAATAAAACTGCTTTTTGGTTCATTATCTGACGTCACTGTTATGTATAGTGTAAAAATGCTGATTACATCAATAAAATCATATAGTAAGTATAACTAATATATTATTCCTGTGATTAAAGACTATTAATACTCAGACTCATACTACTTCAAAATATCAGGAGTCTGCCAATAGATGACTCCTGAAAATATCACTATTTCATGAAATAATATTAATAACAACATGCACCCTCCAGTTATTATAGACACCTCAGTGGAGCTGATAGGGTCTATGTCCCCCAGGGTACTATCGGAGGGTACCCTGGGTACGGTTTGATATATCGGAGAGATGGGGTCGTTGTCGTATCAGGTACTACAGATATGTACCCGAGGTAGTTTTAGGTTGTTTAGTATTATGTTTATATTTTTATATAAGGTAAGTTTAGGGTTAGGGTACACTTCTGTAGTACAAGCCTGGTACATAACACTTTGTGTATACATATATGTACCTCGGGTACATATCTGTGAACGACCCCTTGAGCCTCAGAGTCAGTGGATGGACCACAAAACATTTACGTAATGAATGTCTACCACAAGACCCTTGACTAGGTCTCTTCCCACAGAAAAAAACTATTAGGGACATTGGGAATAATGAAATTATGTGAATGAACACATTAGCACATGTCAAAGTACTAAATTGACTGATTTTTGTTTACAATGTATCTGTCACTAAGCATTTTATGCATGCTCACTTGAAACTCCGAACATGCGCACTCCAAACTCGTTCCAAAGTGTACCACCTTTTTTTGCTGGCGGCGCCACCGTCCAATGGCATTTTATGCATTGAATTGAATTGATTTAATTCTTGAACGGCTCCTCTCCGGGCATGGAAGAAATACATAGTTACATAATAAACATAGAATGATGTTTGGCAACATTTGACAAACAATTAAATAAACAGCAAGATCTAACAAATAAAATATAGCACACGGTGTCACCTGACACCATAGATATTTACTATGATGCATTTAAGTGGTGCATGAAAAATGCATCATAGTATGCAGTGAAGTATCTATGGTGTCAGGTGACACCGTGTGCTCTATTTTATTTGTTAGATCTTGCCGTTTATTTAATTGTTTGTCAAATGTTGCCAAACATCATTCCCATGTTTATTATGTAATTATGTATTTCTTCCATGTCTGGAGCGAGGCCGTTCAAGAAATAAATCAATTTAATTCAATGCATAAAATGTCATTGGACGGTGGCGCCGACAGCGAAAAATCGGTACATTTTGGAACGAGTTTAGAGTGCGCATGTTCGGAGTTTCAAGTGAGCATGCATAAAATGCTCAGTGACAGATACATTGTAAACAAAAATCATTCAAATTATTACTTTGGCGTGTTCATTCACAATCGTTAACATTATCTGTATCAGCGTTATGTACAAAGTGCCTGTGGGGTTTGAACCCGTGTTCTTCCTCTTCCTAACACTGTAAGTCCAACTAATGATGCAAGCCCAAAACATTTGTACAGTCAGTGCTCCGTACACCCTGCGCAGCGTGTTCATGAAATAATATTAATAACAACATGCACCCTCCAGTTATTATAGACAGCTCAGTGGAGCTGATAGGGTCTATGTCCCCCAGGGTACTATCGGAGGGTACCCTGGGTACGGTTTGATATATCGGAGAGATGGGGTCGTTGTCGTATCAGGTACTACAGATATGTACCCGAGGTAGTTTTAGGTTGTTTAGTATTATGTTTATATTTTTATATAAGGTAAGTTTAGGGTTAGGGTACACTTCTGTAGTACAAGCCTGGTACATAACACTTTGTGTATACATATATGTACCTCGGGTACATATCTGTGAACGACCCCTTGAGCCTCAGAGTCAGTGGATGGACCACAAAACATTTACGTAATGAATGTCTACCACAAGACCCTTGACTAGGTCTCTTCCCACAGAAAAAAACTATTAGGGACATTGGGAATAATGAAATCATGTGAATGAACACATTAGCACATGCCAAAGTACTAATTTGACTGATTTTTGTTTACAATGTATCTGTCACTAAGCATTTTATGCATACTCACTTGAAACTCCGAACATGCGCACTCCAAACTCGTTTTAAAATGTACCGCGTTTTCGCTGGCGGCGCCACCGTCCAATGACATTTTATGCATTGAATTAAATTGATTTAATTCTTGCACGGCTCCTCTCCGCGCATAGAAGAAATACATAGTTAAATAATAAACATAAGAATGATGTTTGGCAACATTTGACAAACAATTAAATAAACGGCAAGATCTAACAAATAAAATATAGCACACGGTGTCACCTGACACCATAGATACTTTACGTGCATACTATGATGCATGCATGTGGTGCATGGAAAATGCATCATAGTATGAACGTGAAGTATCTATGGTGTCAGGTAACACCGTGTGCTATATTTAATTTGTTAGATCTTGCCGTTTATTTAATTGTTTGTCAAATGTTGCCAAACATCATTCCTATGTTTATTATGTAACTATGTATTTATTCCATGCGCGGAGAGGAACCGTTTAAGAATTAAATCAATTTAATTCAATGCATAAAATGTCATTGGACGGTGGCGCCGCTAGCAAAAAAGCGGTACATTTTGGAACGAGTTTGGGGTGCGCATGTTCGGAGTTTCAAGTGAGCATGCATAAAATGCTCAGTGACAGATACATTCAACATTGTAAACAAAAATCATTCAAATTATTACTTTGGCGTGTTCATTCACAATCGTTAACATTATCTGTATCAGCGTTATGTACAAAGTGCCTGTGGGGTTTGAACCCGTGTTCTTCCTCTTCCTAACACTGTAAGTCCAACTAATGATGCAAGCCCAAAACATTTGTACAGTCAGTGCTCCGTACACCCTGCGCAGCGTGGTGTATTCTATACAGGACAGTCTGTGGCTATACCAGGTGCGTTGTGTTCTAATGCCACACGCCCCAGTAGTTATCTAACTAAACAACACAAACATGACAATGTTCTACGTCGGATTGATGACACTTGTAGTTGTAGTAACAACTGCATTGATGATGTTGGGCTATTGGATTTCCTGGCGATCCCAGAAACTCCCAGACGTGTTTCGCGGATCAGGATTTAGTGACGGATTGCGAAAGAAGAAGAGTCGACTGCGTACGCTCATCGTTACGGCCCATCCAGACGATGAATGCATGTTCTTTAGCCCGCTAATTCAGCATTTAGTGCAGCTGGACCACAAAGTCTTTCTTCTGTGTTTGTCCTCAGGTAATCACGAACTAAGAACGACGTTCCAAACAGATCCATAGCTAAACAAGTGTTACACTAACTAAACGTGATGTCTTGGCCTCTTACTCTAAAGTCTTACTAGTCTTAATGCATTAAAGCTGCCATTCTAGGCTCTCTACTAGAACCCTATGATCTATCATTACTGCCTTCTGTAGCAGCGAATGCTGTGATTGGTGGAAATTCGGTATATCTGAGGTGTAAATAAATATATAATAATAAATAATATACAGTATATTTATGAGAATTGAGATGCAACTATATGTAAAGCAGCTATGAAAAGATTTTGTATTAATGTGGTTTGTTGTTCTCGTCACTGAAGGCGATTTCTACGGCATGGGAACGACACGAATCATCGAGCTGTTGAGCAGTAGCAGGGTGCTTGGAATCGACGCAACTCACGTCACTGTGCTGAACGATAAGTAAGCTTTAGCCTTGACTGCCCAGGTTCTTCGACTGTTGGCACTGTGCCACATAGCGGGAAGGTAACTTGTGGCTAGCTGTAGCTAAGCCAAGTTAAGTGATTGCACGTACGACCACGCTAGTGTTGAACAATCAATCGATTGAGATCACAAACTTTCATCACAGAGCGATAGGCACTGAACATGGCCGCTGACGACCGTATAAGCTCTTCAGCTGTTCCCATGACAACAGAGCGTTCTCCTAAGTCGCGCACCGACAGCGTTATGCTTTTATATGGGGGCAAGATCAAGCAGCCCAATTGATTTACTTGGTGGTACATGATTGTACAGCGGCATGGAGCTGAGAGAACTGTTGTACACATAAACCCAATATAGTCACCACAGGTTTAGTGATTCTCTATGGAGATGGAACAGCTCAGAGAGATGTCAGAATACAACGACCTGAATGATGACAACAGAAAAAGAGGAGGGTCAAACAAACTAAGATTTTATAGACAACTTAAAACAAAATATGAACCTGAACCATACCTATTAAATTTATATTCTAAACAAGCAAGAAGAGCATTAACTAAACTAAGGCTTAGCGACCACAACCTAAGGATTGAACAAGGCCGTCACCAATCCATCCCTGCTAATCTAAGATTCTGTTCCCTATGCAATGACGGGTCAATAGATGATGAACTCCACCTACTCTATGACTGCACTGCCACCAACCACATCAGAAAAAAGATTGAAGACAAATTTATACACTTCACATTTCTAGGCAAATCATCCATAAAATGGTTATTCATCACAAATCATGTGGCCGACCTCCTCGAACTCTCAAAGTTTATCGAAGATTCATTCAAGCTACGACAAGATCCACCCAAAACATAAATGGTGATATATACAAATAATAAACTAAATCACACCACATATCCCAAGCTAAATACAGATAGGTTTAGACCAACAGTCGGACTTTACTAGTCCTACATCTGAACTCAAGGTGCCTGCAGTTTCCGATGCCAAACGTTACTATCTACGGCAACCGATATACCACGCGATACTTACCGCGATAGTCAATACTCACATGAAACTTGTTCGTTAACGTAGTTTAGGAGTTTGTATTTTATTACACTAGTTTGAAGTGTTGTTGTTTTTTGGATAGAACGTTAATTTATGTTAAATAACAAAAAAATATATTATCATGTATTATGATGTTTTTATTAGCCTAGGAATTTGTTTTATTGTAGTTTGTAGCATATTTGCCTGTATGATCTACGATTATCTGTGCAATAAACTTTATTTGAATTTGAATTTTGAATTTGAATTTGAATTTTGAATTTGAATTTGAATACAACTATAATCTGTGTGCTTGTAGGAACCTGCTGGATAATGCCAGCTTGGATTGGGAGCCGGCAGAAGTGGAGAAACACATTGTCAAAGCGTTAAGGAACACACAGGCTGATATTGTGAGTATGCATCCCTATATCTGTTGATGTTAAATCATGCATTTATGAGCTGAGATGGTGTTAAAAAACTTATCTAATTTATCTATGTGATGGAAATTGCAGTGTGCACATTTTTCTGCTATTTATATTATGTGCAGCCATACTTATCTATGTGGCTTTTATAATGCAGTTAATCATGGATACACCATGGATAACTTATGGATACACCATACCATGAATGCCTGTGGTGCATCAAGTAGAACTCCATGTTCCTGTATCTCTTCCCTCTCCATCCATTCAGCTTTACCATTCTGTTAAGTTGAGCTGTGTAGAAGACTGACAAATAGCTCGATATTTCTCGGTGAACAGATTATATCGTTTGACGGATATGGTGTGAGTGGACACAGCAATCATCGGGCCATCCACAGAACCCTGAGTAAGATGCTGAAAGCTGGACATCTCCACAAAGGTGACGCAGCTATTTTCACAATGATAATAAAGATCTCTACCCAATAGCAGATGTTTGTTACTACGAACAAATGTATAGATATTGTAACATACATTCATGCTATTACCCGACACACGGGAAGTTGGGTACGTGCGTTTAAAAATATGCGAATATTATTGGAGTCGCTATGCCAACATAAGATTGCCTCGTGGAGCCGTAGCCTGTTTACTACGTTGTTCTTAATATTGTTCATTAGTTGTCTTATCTCTCTTGCTGCTAGTTGTAATATATGTGCATCAATGTACGATGAATAAATTCCGTCACAACTTAGTGACTAGATGTCGTCTCTTTCTGTTCGTCGCTGTTCAGGCAAGGCCGGATCGCAAGTCCACGCATTCATGTTGGAGAGTGTCGCCATCTATAGGAAATATTGTGGGTTTTTCGACGCGACAGTGTCGATGTTTCTTTCACCATATACTGTGATATCGACTCCCACTGGTTACATTACTGCACTGGTACGTTCATTTCACGAAACTACGTAAAATAAGCAATAACCGTGCGCGCATAATTAGTTTGATTGTTGCGACAGCTGTAGCTAGCTTACTAGCATGGATGATAGTCATACCCTCTGTTCGGCGTACGTTGAATAAGCCGTGTTGTTACCTTGTTACAGAGAGCCATGGTGCAACATTGGAGTCAGCTAGTTTGGTTTAGGATGTTGTATGTCGCCTTCTCACGTTACATGATGGTGAATACGCTCGTGCCGTTAGATGCTACTGAAATCTGCAACACGTAAGGATACCGATCGATAGCTCATTTTACATTGAGCTTACGGCTCATCAGCATTTTGTGTGCTGCTGCATATCAGGCAATTTATGTAGATTAGTCACGGAGGGATAATTTAAATTGAGTGTTTTTTTGAGTTTAAACAAGTCTGTTTAATTTATATTCAATGAGGAAATCAGATAATGTGGTAAATATAGTAGTCTGGTTTTCTCTGTCGAGATTATGCATATTTGTTAAAATATAGAAACAACGATTTCTAGATACAAGATGCCCAGATCTGAATTCTTCTATTGGAAACGATTGGTTTTATAGAGCATGAACAATCCTAGGGATAAATTGTCATTCTAGGGTCATACATTGTCTAGTGACAAACTATGTAGTTGTTGTCTTATTTGATCACGTTTAGCCGAGCATTTCACGGTTCGCGTTTGTAGGTGACATCATCAATCGTCGTGGTTACGCCAACACTCCATTCGATTCGTCTGCAGCTTGCGATGAGGCATCCATGCCACTGCTGCGTTTGTCGGGTTGCACTGATGAGGTACGCCTCGCCATACATACAGCCATATCTGCCGTCAACGACGCATTAATCACATCGCTTTGCTCTACTGCATCCGTCGATGTTGCCCCGTGCCGGCTAGCGCTGGATTTATTCCGCGCGCGCAATCTCGAGTAAGTTCGTCGTTATCGGACGATCATCAACGCGAAGCATGAGATGATTGCTGCAGCTAGGCTCTTCACTCCCGTCTCTTGTTGTCGTGCCGGCACGCTCTGCCTGCCCTGATCGATCTATCAGTGCTGCGACGGAGCTCTTGATGGCGAGATGTCGGGGTCGGGAGGGGTTTCCGATGTCAGACGCGTCGCGAGTAGTTGCGACCGTCGAAAGTCGTAAATCCCGTATCGTTTTTTTTTCTTCGGAAACGATCGGTGTCGCGCGGAAGTCGGGACGTTCGCGTTCACGGTCGCGACGATTCGTGATGTTGTCGGCGACGTGCGAGCGAAATCTCTCTGACGATGCGCCGTTACACAACATCCTGCGTGTCGCGCGGTAAACATGCGCGTCCCACGCGCCGCTCGAAATGCCACTCGGGCGAACGCGCTCGAAGGGATGCAGTGGTGCGATACTATGCGGAATTAAAAGCGTGGACGCGCACACTCAGAGTAGGATGTGATTATATGTACCTTGCTCGTATTCTCACAGGAGGACGATGACAAGTGCACTTGCAAGCGTGGCGTGATACTCGGTGTCCGCTGCCAAACCTTTGATCGCGAAGTGAAGGTAATGGAAACAGTTGCAATATAGTACAAATTTTAGTGGACCATTCATAAGCGTTTTGTTAACATTTTAGTAGGAGGTTCGTTAATAAAACAAACTTGTCGATTTTGTCGGGTTGGGTAATGCAGTGTGTCGTTGCAGATAATGATATTACTCACAAAAGTTATCCAGTAAAAGAAATACTGTAGCGAAATGGAATTGTCTGTGTTTTTGTGGCAATGTTTTTGTTTTGAGGGGAGCGGAGGGGAGTCGTGCCGGTGTGGAACACATACATCTAATTAATGAGATGGGTTTTCTTTTTACTTTCGCCGTCATTTTCATCGGCGGAATTCATGACATGATTACCCATGGGAAGGAATCGGTGTGATGTCGCACACACGTACACAGAAGCGTTGTCAACGGCTAAGGGTCCTGGGGGTCGGAAGGTTCCGTCTGGGTGGGAATCCTAGTGACCAAGTTGGCTTGTGTTTGCATTGCGGAGTGATAGTCCTACGTAAAAAACACAGGGTTTGGTGTGAACAAAATGAAAGGAAAATGTTTGGGTTTGCAACTGATTGTTGATCCAATCGATTATTAATATTTGTCGAGAATTAGACCAACGCATCGCTCTGTTCGTTTGGTTGCATCTAGAGTTGATCTCTTATGTCTCTATGATGTTCACAAAGTGTTCGGAAAGTTTGCCGGATGTTCAATAATTGCTCGCAAACACATCAATATACTGTTCGGTACAGAGACGTGTGTACTGTACGTACGAGGTTTCATTAGTGGATGTCCCAATGCATTGTAAATGTTAAATATTAATTGGAAAAACATGGCGAGGCAGGCTATTGTATTAATTGGGTAAATTAATGAGTGTTTGATCGCTTTATTTTGATTACTTTCTTGTGTTGTGTATGGGATGCCCGGGCCCCCCCACTTTTTTGGCAGAAAATATATGTCTATATGTATTTTGTATGATCGGAAAGAAATGCAAGAAAAGAAAGAGGGAACAAGGAGGAGAGGAAGGGGGAAAGTTGGTGGCGGGGACATGGCGGCTGTGGGTAGTAGCACTGCTTCTCGCTCTGTTGTCGTGTGTTCCGAGTTGCCGAGGTGTCGGACCTGACCCCACGCCCGTGCGTGCGGAGCAAGGTACGTGTTAAACCCACTGATCTCTATAATAAACTCGAGTTATTATAGAGATCAGTGGTTAAACCCCGCTGCTGCTGCTGCTGCTGCTGCTGGCGAAGAAGAGAGGGAGGTTTTACAATTTCATCGTGAGGTTGGGGCCGTTGTCAGAAACATCGAAAGGTTACTGCTAATTTTGTTTCTGAGAACGGGCCGCTGATTGCAGGTAATGGTAGCGGAAACTGTCGCGTCTGATGCTGCCTAACGATGCTGTTCTGCAACGAAGCGGTCGGTCAAGAATTTCATTAAAATGTGCGAAGTTATTGAATACCACTTGAAAGGCTTCGTGTGAACGACTTGATATTTAATGGGTAGTGATAATAGCACTTGTTCAAAGCAATCAACTTCGATCGCGGCAGGCATGAAAGGTTGCTATTAAGCGGTAAAATCGCATGAGCTAGCAATTTGCGATGTTCTTCATATTGGAAACTGATGCTCCTAGGAGTAATAATTATGCTAATTAATTGCTCAGCTCGTCGATATTATGAACGTACTAAAATGCATTAGGCCATCATCATCATCATCATCATCATCATCATCATCATCATCATCATCATCATCATCATTAGGGTCATCAATAGTGATTATTGTTCACTCTCGTTTGACACTTCATGGAACCAAGTTTAAATCTAAGCTAAGGTAGTAGCTATAATAGTATAAGCTAAATAAATTATCCTGATAACAAATCACCAATGTTCACCCAAATATTCGTGCACATTAGTTTGCAATAAGCGTTTGAAAAGTGGAATTTTAACCCCTTTCCGAAACAGTCCAATTCTGCCAATAAGTGGTATATCGTAGATGCGGTTTATGGGTCCGGGAAGATAGTGGATGTTCCGGAATTATACCGGGAATCGCCTGATAGTTTAACACGATCAGGGATGAGCATGGAATGTGTTGACATTGATTTCCTATTATAGCCAGCGATATATGATGATGATGATGAATATTTGATGTCGTCAAACGTTGTATGGTTTATGCGTCGTTGATTGATCTGTTGACGCGGTGTGCGTATGCTATGTTTGATCCGTGGCAATGTTACTAGGAAACGCAAACTATCATCTATCAATTGCTTGATCACCACCGATTAAATAAAAAGCTCGAAATATCAGCAAACATAATTGGTTGATAAATGGTTGTTTAAAATTCTGATAATGCAGCGATGAGGTGTTTTGTCGTGAGACGCGTTGGTTAGGCTTAAGGCCTATTTACACGATGCGTCCTAGACGTACGTCCAGGACTTATCAGATTTGCACGTACGTCTATCATCCATTCACCCACTCCTTTCTTCATTCTTTCCTCCCTCCATCTTTCTTTCCTTCTTCCCTCATCCACCCTTCCAGCTCTCTCTCCGTCCCTTTATCTGGCCATCCTTCTCTTACTCCCGTTCATCTATTCAGTATCCTGTCAATAGAGCTTGGCGAGCGGGCGATCGAAGCACCGTGTATGCTCAGTTCTGTCATGTAGCGGATATTTCCATCGCGATTTGGGTTAGACTCTCTTAAGGCTGCCGCACACCAGCCGATTTTTACAAACGATGAAGCGATGAAGCGATGAAGCGATGTAGGTGTGCGCGTTCATTTGTAGACGATTTTATTTTTATCGGGTGATCGTTCCAAATCAAACATGTTTGCCGATGAGCCGATGAGCCGATGAGCCGATGAGCCGATTTAAAGGCCGCCGCACACCTACATCGCTTCATCGCTTCATCGCTTCATCGTTTGTAAAATCGGCTGGTGTGCGGCGGCCTTTATTGCTACTCTTATTGCTACTGATGTTAGAGACATCATATAGATGATTTCTATTCTTAGAAATACCCTTTCTCATATTGCCCACATCTTGTACTATTATTTGGTTTATCACAGTGTAAGTTTTGTAATAAAATGGCAACGGAAATGTATTTTCTCGTGGCGCCGATACTTCAATATAGAGGAAAACGTTTTATCGGCACGGTGACGTCACGGCGCAGACGCTTGGGAGAAGATTTCCGACACATTGTCATCGTGTTCCGTCGGTCAATATCGCGAAGAAATGATGTTCGACCTGTGTGAGTGTAGAAAGATTGGCATTGGCACTGGTGTTGTCCTCTCACAGGAAATTCCGTGTGTAAACGATGCCGCCGCTGCTGCTGCCGGGAGGGTCTAATGAAACAGCTGCACTGTGTCACAGTGTTGGCTTTGTGCGCGTGCGTGCGTGCGCGTGCGTGCGTGCGTGTGTGTGCTTCCGAGCGTGCGTGCGTGTGGGTGTGTGGGTGTGCGTGCGTGTGAGCATGCGTGCAGTGTGTTGGTCCGTGTGCGTGCGTGCGTGCGTGCGTCCGCGCATGTATCTGTGTTTACGTTGGTGACAATGATCGATTGTTGTCGCACATTACGCTGTTACGATCGAGCGTCAATTAAGACGAGCTAGTAATTAGTTTGGACGTATTCATCATCCAATAATAACATTATGCTTCACAGCATCCTCTCTTCCACCCTCTCCACAGCCTCCCTTCGTCATATCCGCAACCTTTGCATCCTCGCACTCTACCCTTCTCTCCCTCTCCTCTGTTCCCTACTCTATCCCTTACTGTCTATATGCTCTTCTTTGGCATTCTATTCTCCGCATCCTCTACCCAGCCTCCGCCTCCTCTACCCACGCCCACGACCCTATGCTCCTCCCTCGCATCCTTTCCCCAGCCTCCGCATCCTTTCCCCAGCCTCCGCATCCTCCACCCAGCCCCTGCATCCTTTCCCCAGCCTCCGCATC